TGAAACGTCCTTACAAATTCCATCTAATGAACATGCAATTCGTCCTCAAAGTTCTAGATATGTAAATAATCCCATTACTCAATATTTATCTAAGCCTCTTGGTGCATCACGCCGTAAAGTTATAGATCAACAAGTTCTGAAAATGATTGTAAAAGAATACTATCCCTTCAGTATTGTTGAAGATAGGGAGTTTGTAAAACTTTTAAATTTATTAAATCCCGGTTATACACTTCCGTCGAGAAAAACGTTGTCGAAATCATTATTACCTATAATGTACAATGAAATATATGATAAAGTGAAACAAGACATAAAAGACCATGCAAAATATGTAAGCATTACCACAGATAGTTGGACTTCTATTAAAAATGAAAATTATATTGCTGTCACATGCCATTTTATTAATAATGAATGTGAATTAAAATCCTATCTTCTCTCTTGTTTCAAAAATTCGGAATCACACTCTTCAGAAAATTTGAAAAATGATTTATTGGCGGTCATAAAGAAATGGGGCTTGGAAAATAACATTGTAGCATGTACAACTGACAATGCACATAATATTGTTAATGCTGTCAGTTTATGTGGTTGGAGGCATGTAGGTTGCTTTGCACACAGTTTAAATTTGGCAGTACAAACTGCCCTTAAGTCAATATCTGAAACAAGAGATAAAGTTAGAGGAATTGTTGGACATTTTAAGAGAAGTCCACAGGYAGCTGAAAAACTTAGAGCTATGCAAGAGCAATTGGGCTTAACACCACCTTTAATGCTCATCCAGGACGTCGTTACACGTTGGAACTCAACGTATGAGATGTTTCAGCGTATTCAGAACCTTAAAGTTCCTCTTTCTTCAGTATTAGTAGAGTGTAATTATAATGTTTACTTGACCAATGAAGACTGGCACATTATTTCCAAGTCCTGTGAAGTATTAAAATATTTTAAGGAAATTACAGTTGAAATAAGTAGTGAAAAATCGGTTTCTATTTCAAAATCTGTTGTATTTAGTCGAGCACTTATCAAACATTGTACATACTTGGATACACAGTTTTATGATTCACAACAATTAACTGATATGATATCCACATTAAAACAACAAGTAGAACAGAGATTTGGGTCAATTGAAAAAATACAAATTTATGCAGAAGCTACAATACTTGATCCTAGATTTAAAAAATATGGATTCTTAAATAATAGTTCATTTACAGAATCAAAAAAAACAATTATTAATAAAGCTACTACCATACATATTGGAATGAAAAATACAATGCAGCCATCGATACAAAATCAATCTGTGACGTTAGGTGGAGATTCTATTTGGAATGACTTTGATGAAGAGGTAAACAGTAAACTTATATCCACAAATCCAACATCCGCAGCTATTGTTGAAGTTGATAAATACTTACAAGAAGGGTTAATTCCAAGGCATGAAAATCCTCTAAAGTGGTGGAAAGACAATCGAAATATTTATTCGTGTTTGTTTGAGGTTATGAAAAAACGTCTCTGTGTACTCGCAACATCAGTTCCATGTGAACGTATATTTTCAAAGGCAGGACAAACTATTTCAGAAAAAAGAAGTAGGCTAAGCAGTAAAAATTTTGAAAAAATGATATTTTTAAACTTTAATTCAAAATAGCTTGTTTTTAAAGTTTTAACAAGTTTTTGAGATGTCATGTTTTAATTTTTAATAGCTTTAAATATTTGTAATACTAATAGTTACCTGTGGGTGTCACGAGTGTAAACTATAAAGTGTAATGAATGACCAATCTATAATGTATTGTTCTGAAAAGTATCTTCTGTACCGTAAGTCCGTAATATTAATAATAATATTAAACAATTAAATGTATTGATATTTAATATAGGACATAGGTTAATGTTACATAATATATTATTAAAATATAGGTAATAGGTATCATAATGCCGAGTTGGCGTGTTCACTGTTCACCGAATCGTGATATTATTCTAATATTGATAATGAATCAAATATTTATTTTGTATTTTAATA